ATATAAATAAATGATGTACCTTTCTGTGTCCAGATAAAACAGAACAGCTTTGGCATAATAATGTTTGGTGCATGTTGTAAAGTGGTGGCCATTGATTATGAGGAATCGTTGTACATACCAAGAATTTTCCCAGGGGTTAGGGAGCTCTGGTAGTGTAGTCATGTGACTGCTGACGCAAAGGTGGCAGGCACTCCTGTAGGTTTGAATCCTTCAGTAGCCTCTCCATGAGAGAAAGGTGGGCACTCTCCTCATATGTGATGTATTGACTTCCAAAAACCCACTAGAGAGTCAGCTATCAGTTCCTACTCCACAGCAATGAGTCATGGGGGTTGGCTGTGGTAACCCAGTGACTCTCTATTTCCTTTGACTGAGGACTTTTAGGAGTTTTGAATGTATGTCTTGAGCCTGATGACTTTTCAGCACCTTACACAGTTTGTAGTGGGTAGTCATGGAAGGATCATGAGAAAGTAATGTGTTGCCGAAGCTGTGATTGGCTGAGTGAGCTTATATGGCCCTTCTCTCTGGCAGAGCCCACAAGAGATTTTGTGAGCTGCTTTCCCCGGAGCATCGGAGCACAGAGGAGTCACTGCAGGCACGCGTGTCTATTCAACAGATCCTCAGCATTCCAGAACTCAAGGTGCCAGCCTGGTAGTCCTTACACGTTCACTGTACATACGCACATTTCCCCTGGTAGACGAACACTGCCAGGACGATCCTTTGGACTTCATTCTGGTTTGTGCTTTAATTATAATCTCAAGTTAAAGGCTTTACCAAATAACTGAGTGGAATTATCTAACATAATGTTTCTCACACAGACCTTCTAGGCATTTTCTCAGCAGTTTAAAAACTCTGGCTTTAAAGAAGAGTCAAATTATAACTGAAGTGTTAGAGTCCCTGTTCCAAAGGCGCATTGTCAGTCTACAGAATTGCTATGGCACTTATTATAGAGTGCCTTTTACACAATAGGTGTTAATATTTACATTTAAAAATAACCAGCCCATCTTGTTCCTTCAGTATAGGGTGCCTTCTATCACCCCTTGCACCCACACAAGTTGCATGTGATTTGTTTTTGTGTTAAACATGAACTCCCAGGAAGCTAATTCTGCCCTTTCTCTAGCTAGCTCAGTGTCGCCTCAGTCATCTATGCACTGGTCATGTTCCCTTTTAAGTCTAAGTCCTATGGGGTGGGTGCTGTAACCTCCCTTGAGTTCTTTGAGGCTTTGAGGAGTGTGTGCCCCTGGGCTGCATCTTGTGCTGTGATTTCATGGAAGACTTTCTTGCCTAGGCCAACCCATTCAAGGAGCGGATCTGTAGGGTCTTCTCCACATCCCCAACCAGAGACAGCATGAGTTTTGAGGACTTCCTGGACTTCCTCAGTGTGTTCAGCGACACAGCAACCCCAGAAATCAAGTCCCACTATGCCTTCCGCATCTTTGGTAAGGGCCAGCGGCCTAGTTGATGCCACATCTGCCTGCATGGTCTTGGTGGGTGTGTGGCTTAGAAAACAGGCCATTTGAGGAGGCTTGAAGCTCCTCTTGCTCATACCGTCTGTGGCTTCCTGTATCTGCTCTCCAGACTTTGATGACGATGGGACTTTGAACAGAGAGGACCTGAGTCAGCTTGTGAACTGCCTCACGGGAGAAGGAGAAGACACACGGCTTAGTGCCTCAGAGATGAAGCAGCTAATTGACAATGTGAGGGCTGATGTAGGCCAGGCTCGGAGTGGGAGAGAGGGAGGGTTCAGAGCTTTGTCCTAAATCTCCTGATTTTCCAAATAGATTCTGGAAGAGTCTGACATTGATAGGGATGGGACCATCAATCTCTCCGAGTTCCAGCATGTCATCTCCCGTTCACCGGACTTTGCCAGGTATGATGGTAGTCCACTGTGTTCTCACTACCTCCTCCAACTGCTGTGGGATGTTATTACAGGAAATGGTGCCTGGACATCAAGCAAAGTTTTCTTAATATCCCCGGGTAGCTTTTCTTCCAGAGGACACAGTCCATTCCAAATAAGGGTATCTTAGGCAGAGGTGGGTGTGGGTTTAACCCCTTACCCACTTTTCCAGAATGCCCAACCTGCTCTTCTCTTGTTCAGCTCCTTTAAGATTGTCCTGTGACAGGAACTATGGCATGTGGTCCCAGCACCCTGTTCGAGAACCTTCCCACTGCTCAACTGTGGCCGAGGTTACACCTGCTTGGCCAGAGCCGGCATAGCTGGCCTGGCCCTGAGCTGGCACCATGCAGTCTTGTCCCTGGGGAGGGGAGGGCACACTGTATTGAGGCCTCTCTCCTCACTGCCATTGTCATTGCTCTTGCTTTGTTTCTACTGATCATAATAAAGGTTTAGTTGTTTTGACCTCTGTGCATCACTGCAAACATGGATATGAGAGCGCGCTGGACATTTAGAAGCCTTCAGTCATACTTGGAATAAGTAGAGAACACAGAAGGAGCATGAATGGCTCAGTTAATCACTTTACTATTGAAAGGTTCAAGGTTTGAATCTTCCAAGAGAGGCTGCAGAAGGTCTGGCAATCTTCTCCCAAAACCTTTAGCTACTTAAACCCCTAAGGAGAGCAAAAGAGAAAGCAGCAAAGATTTTAAAAGCCCCACTAGTCTACAGGACTATCTACATGGTGCATGGTCTCATCCATCTACCCTGAGAGCAGACACCACCGTCTCTGAGCAGGGATGCAATAATATGTGGTCCCAGGCAGAAGGGTAGAAAAAGGTAGAAAACAATTCTTAAAAAGGCCAGACTTGGGGGAGCTCTGGTGGCCTAGTGGCAAGAAGCTGCACTGCAATCCCAGAGGAACGTGGTTCGAATCCACCAGATGCTCTGCCGGAGAAGGAGGCGCAATATCCTCCTGTACCAGTCAGATCTGATTTGACGGTACACGCACACAAAATAATAATTAAAAAAAAAAAGGCCAGACTTACTGGAGCAGGTAGGACTACAGCAACCCCTGTTGCCCTGAGATTCCTTTTGAACTTTGAACTGAAGCTACTCCCTGACCTCACCGCCCAGCTAAATAAGATTGACCCATGAAATAGTGTCAAGGGAAATACTGTGCAGTAAATACTTGAAAAAAAACAAACCAGTATCACCCCATGAATACTGTAGTGGTGGTGTTTTTTTAAAAAATCATCTGCGTGAGACCAGTGTGGCTGTTCATGTGTTAAGTCTCACACTGGTGTCTACTTTGAGGCCAGGGAGCCCTGGGAATGTAGTTCGTAATCAGGCTGTAAACCAAGGGGTTGGTGGTTCAAACCTCTAGCCTCTGAGTGGGAGAAAGATGGGCAGTCTCCTCCTATAAAGATTTACAGCCACAGAAACACAATGGAGGGGTGCTATGGTTTGGAACAGACTGAATGGCAGAAATTGAGGTAAAATAAATGAGACCCTGAACCCCAACCTTGACATAGCCACCTTGTACCTTCCCACCAAGGGTTAAAACAGTCCCCTTCCATTAAAAACCACGTTTTACTGGGAGGTGCAATGACCCAGACAGGGCTGGCTCTGCATTTACTAGTCCCTGGAAAGGTCAATGGACTCTCCTTGTCAGATATCATGAGGATGGTGGTGCATGAGAGGGCAGAGTTCAGGACTGTTGTTCCTATGAGTTATGTACACTGTACAGCATTTCACAAAAGGCAATAGTATAACTACAGTGAGTAAGCTGTAAAAAAAGCTGACTTGGCAAATATTAATAACAAAAGCTGTTGAAGTTGCTTATGTACAACCAAACACCTGGTGAGATTTGATCCCTTTGAGATTTAGGGTCACAGTTTCATGGAACATCCTACTATCTGGCCTAATAATGCACTTGGGTGTTTGTTGTGCCTCTGAGTTTGCTGCAGTGTCCCGGGTCCTCAAAACTTGTAGGTGGCCTTTGACTGGAACAAGGAGGCAGGAATAAGAGGAGGATACAGGTGGGGTTTGGTTTTTTGTTTTGATAAGTTAGGAATAAGAGGAAGAGAGAGGTTTAGCTTTTTTAAAATTTTGGTGAGACCCAGAGCTGAGCTGACCTGGAGAGGAAGACTAAAGACTGAGATAAGCAAAATGATACCCCTGTAGGGTAACCTGAGCACCCAAAAGAAGTGTTACCTCCAAGAACAACTTCCCACTTTTGCTAGAATTGTTTAATTACCAAATACACTGCTCAGATACGCCACAGAAAATCCTGGGGAGAAATTAATTACACAACAGTACTTCAAATTTTCACAGACTCTGGCCTTTTTGGAGCCTCAGAGGTTTGATGAGTGCACAGGACTGCCCTGAGACATTTAACTGCCGCACAGCTGGCCCTCGTTTGGGTTTCTGAAGCTGTAAACAGCACAGGAGATTGCCCATCGTTCTCCTATGGAGCCATTAGTGGAGTTGAACCACCGGAACAGCACAGCCTTTGGGTTGGCACGACTCCCTACAGAGGCGGCCATGAGAGCCCTCTTAAGTCCTGAAGTCTTTAGCTTAGCTACTAAAACTTACCTACCTTGAGCATTATGTTCTTAAAGATCTATATGGCATCCACTGACAAGAGCGAGTCAGAAGATTAGACAGGGAACCCTTGGGGCCCTGAGCTTGTGAGGGTGAAAACGGTTGCACAACTCGAAGGATGTCATCAGTGTCATGATGGTGCACAATAGGAAGCCACTGAATCGGTATGTTTTGCTGTGAATATATTTTAGAATAGAAAATTTTAAAAAGCAATAAACTTTGAAGAGGAAAGACTACAATTACTATTCTTCAGTTTTTATTTTATTAAAAAAAGGTAAAGTGCACATTATTTAAAAAACGACAACAACAAACAAACACCCATATGAAATCCACAGGAATCCTGGGCTTCTGTATTGGGCAGTGTCAGTACGCCGCAGAATGGCAGACCAATGCCCCATGAGTGGAGTGGATTAGAAACTGGATGAAGAACAGGCACAAGTTTGAACTGAAGATGGGGAGTAGGTGGGTGCAGAGAAAGGGATTCATGGCTGGGGTGGAAGAAGGGAGGACTCAGGGGAAGGGGAACGTGACGTCCTAAATGTAGTTCTTAAACTGTCCTCTTGCGTGGTCACAGCCTGATGCAGGCTGAAAAGGTTGGGGAGGCATGTCTAAGCTCAGGGACAGGCAATACCTTTACTGAAAGCCTTGACTCTGGTCCCTGAGGCGGTGAGATGACCGTGGCAACCACCCTATCTTAGGTTTGCTGGCATGGCGGCGCCCGGCCAGGTATGCCCCAGAGGGCTGGCGCTGGCTCTCAGTGAGGAGGGCAAAAGGCGGAGGCAAATTCGTGAGAGTTCTCCAGCAATCTGGACGAGTCTCGAATGCCTGCCCTCGGGAGGCTCCCCATGACGAAGCTTGTGAACTGGAGTGGTCTAACCTTTCTCACACTTGCTTCACATTTTCAACTGTTTAAACAAAGGGCTCAGCCTCAGAAGTACACAGTTCTGCCCCACTTGGCAGGCTCCTGTTTTCAGCGTGGGCTTCTAGGGTCAGGGCTGCCGGAGCCCTGTCACCGGCTGAAGAGCAGCAGACCAGCTGGCTCTGTCATCCCTGCAGTCCAGGACCAAGGTGCTTGTGACAAGGAGCAGAAGCCACGCTGGTTCTCTGAGCATTCTAGCCGCTGAGGCCTGGCAGCCTCCTCTCAGTTTGGCCCTCACACCACAGAGTCCCGGATCTCTGAGCCCAGGCGCACGCGGGGCCTGGGGCACACTGGGGACACTTCTACCAAGGTGTCCTGGATGCTGAGTGGCCTCTTCTCTGATTCAGTGAAGACCCGGGGCCCTGGGGAGATATCCGACAGGGCCTGGTAACCTCCTCGGTGGTCAAGTGGGGTGCTAGGAGGACCTACACCATTGAGTGGCCGGGCCTCCGCTTGAAACACTGCAGGGCGGGTCTTGGGGTGCACACTGGCACACTCTCCCTGCTTCAGGAAGATTTTCATGCAATCCCGGTGCCGGTAGAGTAAGAAAAAAGTTACAAGCACCACAGCGAGTACAAACAGCACACACATCACCAGGAACTCGTTCCAGTAGGACTTGTCGGAACTCCAGCTAGACTTGCCACTAACTGGTGCGCTCACACGTGAGGTGTTGATGACGACAGGCACGCTGCCACCCTGGTCGGCTTCGTTCACGACCTTGACCACCGCCAGGCAGTAGTTAGCCACCAGCTGCTGGAAGCCATCTTCCTGCGACCAACACTGGAACAGACCCAGCCCCTGGGGGCTGCCCACTAACAGCAGGTCCCCAGTGGGCAGCACGCGACAGGAAGCCGTGGTATTGACTGGAGCCCCATTGTGCAGCCAAAGCCGGGTGGCCAGGTTGGAAAGGAGTGGGCAGGCCAAGGTGTTCACTGTGTTGGGCTGGAACTGGACTTGCTCACAGGGCTTGTTGGCTGCAGGAAGAAGCATGAGGTGAAGGCTTGCAGGTGTTTCAGGAGCCAGGGGTGTACCTGCCTCCAGGGGCTGTGTTCCTCCTCAGGCAAAGGTACCCACCCCTGGACTCCATTTTCCAGGGTCCAATATTAAGGCTGGAAGGATCAGGTGACAAGGAAAGGGATTTACACACCTTAGAACCACACTGGGCATCCACACCCTGCTAGGGCCCCTTACCTATTGACGATGTAGATGCTCGGCCTCTGGGCCAGGAAGCATTGCACAAGCCCTTAGCATTGGCCCCCTCAATGTCCTGGATCCACAACCTGAGGGCAAGGGAAGTCTTAGACATGTCAGGAAGCCCTACAAGTCCTCCCCCTCCGCCACCCCAGGACAGGTGGACAACAGGCATTTATGGAGCCCTGCACACGTGAGCTGGACAAGGTGCCCTGGGCTCAGGAATCAGCCAGCCAGAGCCAGGAGGGAAACGCTTCCCTGGGATGCCACCCCGACCTCTGCAGGGGTTGGATCAGCATCTCCTCTGCCTACAGATTCTTCTGTTTAAAGAACATTTCCCTCATACAGGTTGTGCCCTCAGGAGCGAGTGCCCGTATCCTAATGGATAAGGAGTCCCACCACTAACCCAAAGGCAGGTGGTTTTCAAATCCACCAGCTGCTCCGCGGGAGAAAGATGGGCACTCTCCTCCTGTGCGATTAACTGCCTCTGAAAACCTGCTAGAGGGTCAGCTATGAGTTGGTGGCAACTCAATGGCAATGAACATGTGCCTCCCGAAAACGTCTGGAAGATAGCTGGATTGGTTTGTATTTATCTGTCTTTTTAAAGCAATGCACAGGTATTGACTTAAGGAAAAGTAGCAAGGAGAAAACAATTCCTGCTGCATGCAGAAAACTTGGAAAACTCAGCCAAACATACAGAGACCCTTACAGTTAACGTGTGCATGGTGTCCCTCCAGCTAGACTTATGGAGATAGATGTGTGGTTTTGTGAAATACAAAAAAGGTATCAACTCTATTTCAATAAGCACACTGCAAATGGGAATGATACCATGTGTTGCTGCTTGAAGCCCTAAGCCCCGATCCTTGTGTATGTGGCCGTCTCAGTAACCGAGTGCTGCTGTAACACAAATGCTACACGTGGGAGGTCGAAAAGGATAGAAACTATTGTCCCAATGGATAAAGACTGGGATCTTAGCCTCGTGGCTTATTGGTCTGGGAACCTGGCATTCTTGGTTCCTCGATACAGGCAATCCTCACAGGTCCTCAAATGGTGTCTGTCTGTCTTTCTATAACACAGCTTGGGCTTGATAATGCATAAGGGTGACCTCTCTGCATAAGGAAATAAGGGCCTTTGGTGGCAATTATTTAACATGAAGTCAGCAGAGTTGGGATAATCCTCATCCAATCTCAGTGATGTCTTTATGAAATGAAGAGGCGGAGTAGAGGACACTATGAGAGGCTGCATCTACAGCCAAGGAACACAGGGGTTACCAGAAGCCAGGTGACACAGGAAAATCTCTTGCACTAAAGCCTTTAGAAGGAGCAGAGCCCAGCTGACAGGCTGAACTGAGACAATAAATTTCTTTTTCTTAGAAAAGCTGGGACATTTCACTAATCACGTTCCCCACCTTACAGAAGACTAAGGCAAATCAAACGTAACCTATTACTTGAACCCTAAATAGTCTGGAGAATAGGAAGGGAGCTAATGTCCTGAGACACTGGGTATGAAAGAGGCCACGTGGTGATCCTAGGGAGGGGGTGAGGGAGTGTGCTCAGGCCGGAGTGCAGGGATGGACATGGGAAGGGGCCTGAGGAAACTCACCTGGGGGTTAACTCAGGTGGTAGGAGACTGACGTGCTTGCAACTGGAGCCGCTCCAAGCACAGTAGGGGTCCCGGGCAAGAAGGCAGTCCCCACAGCTCTGGTACAGGCTGCAATTGGCCACAGGCACCTGGACTATGCCCGAGTATGAGGCAGCGTACAGCAGGCCCTGCACAGGAGACATGAGGTGAGGGACAGGCATGGGCAGCAGGGCCTCACCCACAACCACATCTGGCTTAGAGGCCCACCAGAGCCACTGGCCACAGGGCTTCTCTTCTGCTCGTGGACACCCTTGCTTTCTGAGAAGCCATGCTCTCAAGCACTGAGCTTGACTTCCCATGTCTTCCCGAGGCAAGGGAGGAAAAACCAGGTGGAGAATGCTTGGCAATAAGAGTGGACAGCTCCCATCCAGGCTCACCCTGTTGGCGTCCAGAAGCAGGTTCTGCACAGGTTGTCCTGTGGGGAAGATCTGGAGCTCCTCGATGATGTGCACCCTGGTGCCTAGGCTCACAGCCTTGTGCAACCGGCCATCACCTGCAGCATACACAGGACTCAAGCCCTGGACCCGCCTGCCAGCTGTGTCGGTTCCCCCAGTCCACCCTGCCAAAAGCCACTCACCAGTGCCCAGGAAGAGGACGTCATAGGTGTGGTGCAGGCCGCGGACGCGGTGGACCACCACGCGCTGGTAGCGGGCCCTGGGCTGTAGCAGGAGCATGTGGCTTCGGACCTGCCCGTCCATCAGGAAGTGGTCCTTGAGGAAGTTGAGTACGCGGTCCGGGAGTTGCAGGGATGAGTTGATCCTCCTTTCCCGGGCACTGTTAGTGATGCACTAAAGGAGAAGTTGGTGCTATGAGCCCAGGAGGATGGGGCCCAGCTGATTCTGCTGGGGTCACTGGCTCAGCCTCCCCTGGCTGGGGAGGGTCATTTGCCTGAGTCTCAAAAGCCATGCTATCAATTCTAGTTTTCCAGAGAGTCAACTCGCTGGCCTGGAGGCTCAAGAAACCAAAGCTGACATGTTCCTGTCTTGTGTGCCTCCTCCCTACAACCCCACCACCACCGCCGCCACCACCCAGACTTCCAGAACTGTGGTAACTATACTTTCAGTTCCTTTAGCATCTTCCCACTAAGCTCCCAGGAAACCCTGGCTGACCAGCTTTTCTGCAGAGAACCGTCTTGTCCACAATCCCATGAGGCTCTATGTGCAGTCAACTCCCAGACCTGCTGGGGGCTTCCTGATTTTCTGAGACTTAACATCCAGAGTGTTCCTCAGCCAGTGAGGCATGAGAACTGGTAAAATGCCCTAGTGAGGCAATGGGATGTGGTCATTAGTCTTGAGGGGTCTAGTAGGACTGAGCTCTGGCTACTACCAGCAATAACCACATTTTTCTCTCCTTGTTGTATACTGTCAAGTTGGATCTGACTGACACAGGAGGAGATGGCCCTCTTTCACCAGCAGAGAATCTGGTGGATTCGAACTGCACACCTTTGGGATTGCAGTGCAACTTCTTGCCACTAGACCTCCCTTCAATTAACTACTTTCTCAGCTTTCCTCTCATGTCTCCATTCCTTCACGTGGCTTCCTGAAATCATCTCCTAGATAAGCTACATGTGCTCATACCACTGTCTTAAGGTCTACTTTTCCTTCTAGCATTTGGTTGGAAGGAAAGAAGAGACAAACTATTTTCCCATGACCTGATCATGAAGTCACGCATTACTTAGACGCAGCCCTTCGGCAAGGAGCTCAGTGCTGAGTCAGGGGTGGGATGAATGAACAACGTGCAGTATGTGCCTGGGTACGGGACACATCTTCTGGCCTGAGGCTCAGCTGAAGGCACTGCAATGTTCATGGTTATGTGTAAACCAGTAAGACAGCAGCCTGGGCTTATGTTCCCATCTTCAAGTAAAAAGATTCAGAAAAGTCAGAGATGTGTCTGAGGTGACGCCGCCCTTCCTAATCATAATATGGCGTGGGTGCCCAAGTCTCCCTACCACCCTCCCCTGGGTGCAGGGAACGAGTACCCACCGCACCAGGCCGGGGCGAGGGGACCGGATGAGTCACAGTGTACCACTGCTGCGTCTCCCGGTTGACTTCCTTGTAGAGGCCGTTGAAGGCCCTCTGCACGTCCTCCATGGTGAAGACACAGATGGCAGAGCCTTCTGTGGTCCCCCGGTGCCTGCAGATGAAATGGCAGGATTAGCTCAGGAGCCCTGTGGTCTCAGATGACGCAGCTGAGCCCAAAGACAGCTCTGGGGACCCTAATCCCAGTTCTCCTCCCAAACCCCAGCTGGGTCCTGGGGGCCCTACCACTGGGAGGTGAAGACCCCATAGAAGAGGGTGTTGGGCCAGTCCTTGGGGCTGGGGCTCAGTGTGAAGACATCCTGCAGGACGTTGAACGGGAAGCCATCATCAGGCCGGGAGCACAGCAGCTGGGCTTTCAGAAAAGATGTCCAGCGCTGCTGCAGGACACGCTCGCCACCCTCGTCGCCCTAGGAGAGGGAGAGAAAGGCTGGGCTTAGGTGTGATAGTGGGGCAACAGGCTTGGTGCCCCCTCCCTGGTGGAAGTGGAGACAGACACCAGGGATAAAGGCAAATCTAAAGACTGAGTCTGTTCAAAATCAAGAAATCTTTTTTTTTTTAAATCAAGAAATCTTAGAGGGAGCATCACTGTAAGCATCACCATCTTACATGAGAGCTTCAGGGAAAAGGGTGTGTGGGCGTCTTGAGACAGATTTGGAAAGGGTCTCGATTTGTGGTTGCTCAAAAAAGGAAGCTTTCCCTAATGCAGTACAATTCCTGTAATTAAGTAAGCAGATACATTCACGTATATGCAATCTCCTCCCTACAGCTTCTGAAAATCTGCTGGAGGCTCAGCGATGGGTCAGTTCCAATGGCAATGAGTTTTCAGGTTTTACATAGATCGTGTTAGGTGCTGCTCAATTGAGTAAGGCTCACGGAGACCCTCTGAACCACAGATCCGAACCCTGTCCTGTCCTGAACAGCCCTTGCCATCCCTGACATGCTTGAGCCCACGGCTGCAGCTACTGTATCACTTCATCTCTCTGAGGGTCCTCCTCTCCTTCGTCATCCCTCCACCAAACCCAGCATGATGTCACTTTCCAAGGAACAGCTTCTCCTAGGAACAGGCCCAAAGTATACAAGACAAAGCTTTGTCATCTTTGCCTCGAAGGAGCACTCTGGCCACACTTTCTCCAAGACATCTCTGCTTATTTTTCTGGCAGTCCACGGGATATTGAGTACCCTTCTTCAACTTCCACAGCTCAAAGGCATCAATTCTTCTGTCATCCTTATGCATTGCCCAGCTCTCAAATGCGTAATAAGTGATGGAAAAAGACTGAATCAAACGCACCGTTAGACTTAAGACTTCAAACTGTATCACTGCTCCTCAGTAATTTGGAGGAGTCCATGAAAGAGGACTTGCCCAATGCAAGACATCTCCTGATCTCCTGACTGCTGGTACCAAGGGTGTTGACTGATTGTGGATCCAAGTAAGATGAAACTATTGACAATTTCAGTCTTTTCTCCATCTATCATGATGTTGTTTATTGGTCCTGTGGAAAATTAACTAAATCCATGTGACAATTCTGAGGTGGCTGATGCCAAGCCTGAATCACACAACTAGGTGGGTCTGAACCCAGTCTGGCTGGCTTCACTGGGTATATTGTCAGGAAGAGCCAGTCCCTGGAGAAGGACATTATTCTGGTAAGCTGGGGTCTGTGAAAAAGAGGAAGGTGCTCCTGAGATGGAGGACATGATGGCCACAGCTGAAGCCCTGGGCTCGGGCACAGCACGGTGCGAGGATGGTGTGCGCTCGGGTAGGGTCTGGTTCTAACTACTCAACCGCACTGAGCAACAGTTTGGTTCCAAGTCTGTGCTCTTTGTAATAATGATGAGAACAAATTAGCCAGTTGCCTGTGAATCAAGGCTGGCTCCTGGCAACCCCACGTGTGCCAGGGCAGACCCGTGCTCCTCAGAAGGAGGATGCCACACCTTTTTTCTGATGGGCCTCTAGGACGACTCAAACTTTTAACCTTTCAGTTGGCAGGTGAGTGCATTAACCATGTGCACCGCCCAGCGACTCCTATCATGATGCTGTATTCTCTTTCTCTTATAAGTGATTGTTATACATAAATTAACATATTATCACTTTCTTTAAAGAAAAAAAAAGCTATAATAAGACATGTTTTTTAAAAGGAGTGAAAAAAGCTATTAGTCTAGTTGCTCCTTCTGGAGGATATGGGATCTCAGGGAGCATCTACCCTCCTCACCTTGCAGATTCGGGCAATGCGGGACACGATGGTGTTTTCAAAGAACTCAAACTCCTGGCCCGTTTCACTGAAGAAGAAGTAGATCTTGTCGTCATCTCCCTGCAAGCTGCCCAGACTCTCAGGAATATAGGCTGAGGCCACAAAAGCTGGATCTGTGGGGCCAGTGGGAGTGTGGATTCAGACAGGAGACCTGAAGGCAGGCTGGGGCCCCTTCAAAGGGCGAGTGCCCTCCCTCAGGACTCCTGTGTCAGTCCGAGGCCATAGGCCAAGCACTGCCCACCGGCGGGTGGTGGGTGAGCGTCACCTTGTAGCCAGTTGAGAGAGCTCTCAGTCTTGGTGGGGCGGAGGCTCTGGCTCCGTGAGATGGCCGGGTCATTCCCCTGGAAGCTGCTGACCGTTCCAGTGTAGAGCTCGCCATCTGCCAAGAGAACATTCCCATGGGAATGGCCCCCTTGGCACAGTCCCCACTCTGCTGTTCAGGGCCTGAAGTGACCCCAGAGCTGCCCATCTTGCCCACAGTGGGCAGGGAGGGAAAAAGAAATGGGAAAAGCCAAATCCGGGACCCTGGGGCAGCTAGGCAGTGAGTGTTAGGCAAACTGCTCCTGGAAACTACAGTGGCATAGACCCACCAGCTCCACTCTCTGCCCCTGCTCACCCACTTGCCCATGGTACTTACCGACCACCAGGGCTGTAGACTTGAAATTGGGGTCAAATGGACAACGACCCTTGCCATCTTCCAAGAGGACATTTCCTGTTTTGTCCTTGGCCAAAGTAAAGTTCTCCACATCCTACAGGGGAGCACACCGGGAACAAAAAGAGTCACTTGAGAGTGTCCCAGGGAAGTGGGCTCAAGGGGGACAAGGAAGAGGTGGCTCACAGAGGCAGGCCTGTGGGCAGGTGAAGTGCACAGGGCACACATATACACACACACGAACAGAGCAGAGGCCAGAAGCCCAGCCCTTTAGCCCAGGGCCACCTCACAGGAACGCTATGACTTGGCATAAGAAGTCCAAGTGATGGAGGATACAAGGCTCAGAAAGTAATGTGAACCATGAGAGGCAGAGAGATGCTTCAGATGACCCAATATATCCCATTCCAAAGCTGGTATCATAATGCACAACCCCACTGACCCCTTTCCCAGCCCCTCCAGGGTGTGTGTGTGTAATAGGGATGTACTAGATAAAATGGGAGAGAATCCAGTGAGAGCAGTGGGAGTGAGAGGCACTGAGGGACAGACTTGACCAGGCCATGCCCCTTCACTGCCCCTGGCTGTCAGAGTTAGAAGTCTTGGTGACAAGGCCTCGCAGGGTCTGCTGGCCCCCCCCCCCATGGGCCCTTTGTAATGAGCTCTGTGAGGCGAAGGAGGGCATCTGCCAGGCTCCCCACAAGTGAGCTCCTGGCTGAGATGGACACTTACGATGTAGGTGCACACAGGACTGAAGGCTGCTGTGCCACAGGTGAAGAGGTGGCTGCTGTTGAGGGGCAGGATGATCTTGATGTAGTTTTGACAATCACGCTAGGAGGAAAGGTGAGGCCATCAGCGGCCAAACCCACACATGCCACCAGGGAGCAGTGCTGAGCCTTCCCTGCTGGAGGGACCAGGCAGTGGGCACTTAAGTCCTAGACAAATGAGTACCTCCCAGGGGCAGGGCGCCAGGAGAACCAGAGACAGTTGTGTGGTTTGCAAAGGTTCTTCTGTCTGGGGTGTCAAGAGCATAGCCCCCTGAGGGCCCTGTTCAGAACCTCAATAAAAACCTACCAAACCTTTCCCAAAAACCTACCAAAATCTCTCCCAACCTACCTTGGAGCAAAGAAGTCTCAGCCCAGAGTAGGAGAAACGCTAAGTTCTGAACTCCCACCCCAGATCCGTATAGCATCTCTAAGAAAATACTCCATCTTTTCAGTCCCTGCTTGCCCTAGTCAGTCTTGTCGGTGGCTCTCCCTTCAGAATATACGCAGACTGACCATTTCCCCACTCCCTTTACTGGTCCCACCCTGGACTGCACCACCACCACTGCTCCTCACGTTCTCTCTGTGTTGGTTCATGTCATGGTGGCCAGGGATACCTCAGCTCAGTCTCCATGAAGTCCCCTTTATGTTGCTTATTCCTTCTGCTCCTAAGCTTTGCTCAAAAGTCACTTTTATTTCATCAAGTGTGACCTGACCACCTCTCAAAACAGATTTTTATTTTTTACCCGACTCCCCACAATTATATCTCTAGTGCTGGGCACAGAGAAGGTGCTTCTTAAATACTGCTGAATATTTACAGAAGGCAGAGTCAAGGATGATCTGGGCTCAAATCACTATCTTGACCCCAATCCAATGTGCTCTGAGCCACCACCTGCTTGAGTCAGGACCAGGAATCTGCGGAGAATCGTGGTGAACCCTCCAGGAGAATCCAGGCTTAGATCGCACCTAGTGGTGTGGCCAAAACCAAATTTGGTATCGTTAGATCTACTACATGAGATACCATCTGCAGAAGGATATGGCATCTACTACATGCTAGGGACTTACATTAAGTTCACTGAAGCCTCACATTAAGTTCATTGAGATTAATACTAATATCCCCACTTTATAGAAAGGACACTAAGGCTCAGAGGTGAATCTACTTGCCTAAGGTGAGGGAGGTAGTAAGTGTAGGGCTGGGATTCAAGCCCGGACCCAGCCATCTCAGAAGCCTATGCTCTCCCCCACAAACCTGCTGCATCTCCTCCTGTCCTGGCCCCAGGTCTGTAGTCCCCTCCCTCTCTGAGCTAATAGATGGCTCACCTGGGGATCCTTGCCCTTGAAGCTGCACTGCTGTTTCCTCTCGGCATCTGCACTCCACAGCAGCTGTGAGGGAGAAAGGGGGAGGTGAGTGTGCTGGGGGAGTGGAGGGTAGGTTGGAGGAGCCATTCTCCTCTCTGGCCACCATCATCCTGGACCCCAGGCCACGCTTCCTGCCCATGTTGCCCTCTGGCAATCCTGGATGGCTCACCTCCCGGTAGTCGCCGCCTGGCAGGAAGCTGAGGCTGCTGTTGAGGGCAAAGAGGGCCTCTCGGGCACCCACATACAGAGTCCTGCCATCCCTGCTCAGCAGCAGCGCTGTGTAGTTAGAGACGTTGTCTGCTTCAAATCGGAGGAATGGTCGTTTTTCAGAGCCTGGAGAGAGCAAGATGGACATTACCTAGGGGCTCTGCCTCCCAAGAATGGCCTCTCAGATCAACCTCCAGCAAGATGGTGAGTGACAAGGGGCCAGCGGCAGGCAAATAGGTTTATAGAGGGAGCAGCACTCCTGATCTCACACATTATATAAGAGACAGGTGCACAAAGAAATATGTGAAGTAACATTCACCCATTACAGCACCACGCATATTAATGAAATACTGAGAACAACTTAAGCAATTAACCACAGAACTGGGTGAAAAGAAATGATGGTACTCCACTCAATGGAATCCTACGCAACTGGCAAAAATGATGCCGACGCCATGGCCCAAAATATGATGCAAACTGAAATACGACAATGTGGTAGTTTCTGAGCACGTGACAGAGTACTGGGAAGAAAAATACATGTCAGCACTCTCCTTGGAGTGGTATTAGAACCAAAGAGAAGGACAGGCAGGCAAACAAAGACCATTCCTTGGTGGTCAGCTGGACACAAATTTTTTTTACATGCCAGAGTGATGCAAACACTGGGCACTTACTGGTCTTCAACTTTCAGCTGAACCCCACAGTCACTAAATGGAGGACTTCTCGATACTAGACAGACTGCAAATGCTACCAACCTCGACTGATGGTACAATAGACAGAAATAAGGCTGATGAGGAGGGGTGAAGGAAAGTAGAATCCCCAATATTCTCTTCAAAGAGCAAAGACGGCCACAGACACTGTCAGTGGTTACTGGAACAAGACACAGAGGTTTGAAAGGATATTCTAAATTTAAAAGCTAACTTACAAAGGAAGTTAAGCACAGTGGCAGATATATTTAAGTCTGGGGGAGGGTAAAATCTAAGTGATGGAGAGTCTTCTTTTTCTCAGTAGCACGTTGATAATCACAGGAGGCCTGATGGCATAATGGTTAAGCTTTCAGCTACCAACTAAGAAATCAGCAGTTCAAACCCTCCAGCAGCTGCTCTGGAGAAAAAAACCTAGAGATCTGTCCTTGTAAAGATTACAACCTAGGAAACCCTATGGGGCTGCTGTACTCTGTCATATATGGTCATATGTGTCATATATGGTCTGTTGGCTAAGGGGAAGAGGATGGTGCAGGGATCACAGGTCACTATGAGTTGCAGATGACTCAATGGTACCTACCGCAATTTCACAGCACTCAACAACAGAATTGCTAAGTCAAAAAAGAAGAGTCAAAATGGTTAAAAGTCATCCCTTTTACCCAGGCATAGAGTTGAGGGAAGACTGGGGCTTTTCACAATAGACCTTTCTATACATTTAAAAAAGAAAAACCTGCCACAAACTACACATTCTTGATGAAAATGCCAAATAACTTTTTATTGCTGAAGCATATGTAGTAAAAAAGAAAGTCATTTTCTACCAGTAAATAACAGTTATAAAAACAGTATAGTCAGATTTTGTTGTTTGCATGAAAAAAAATAGAAACATATAAGGCTATATTGCAAAAAGTTAAAAAATCTTTTCTCTGCATAGGAGTTTAGGTATTTCCTCTTTCCTTTCCGTTTTTTGACTTTCTGTAAAAGCAGGCCAGATTTGTAAAATGTAAAAGAAATGAATTGAAAGAGAAGGATGAAGAAGGAAAAAAACAAACACATCCACCTATCCGCTAGGGTACTGCCTGTGCTCTGGCAAACTAATGGGTTTGAAGAGAAATTATTTTAAAATTTCTAAAGCAGCTGGTGAGGAAAAAACCCAAACAAACAATAAGCAGCCACCCTGATCAACCTCAGACTTCCCTATCTGCCCAGTGGATTGCAACTAGCAAATTTCCTCATGAAGCTGGAGAAGCGAAAATCAGGCAAAAAGGCCACATGCTCACGAAGCCATGTGAAGAGAGCGTCATGTGTGTTCACATGCTGAGTGTTTTTACATACCCTCAGTCTGGCTCCACAAAGGGTGAGGAAACACGTGAGGAAGAAAGTAATAAATATAAACACTAAAATCTAGAGTGAAAACAATCTGAACACATCTAACAGGGTAGAGTCATACAAGTAGGCTATTCTCACTCCCATAGACTCACTTAGCTCTGTGCTTCCCAGTGGACCAAGAGAAAAGGGAAAGGCTTTGCCCTGCTGTCCAAGAGGCAGGACACTTAGCGGGCTTTGTGGAGAAGCTACATTTTTTACCTGACTACTAATGCACAAGGAAACCCTCTGATGGGGCGTCCTAGCAAAGGAGCTGATAAATAAGAATGGGCAGCAGCCTTGAAGCACAAAGTCCTTGCCTCACGTCACTGGGGGAAGCGGGGACACAGAGGCACCAGTGCAAGAGTTATGGGGGAAACATATGGCTCTGGAGCTGGGAGGCCCATCACATTCCAGAAGCAGATCTGCAACTGGAATTGCCCTGAAGATGCGGGTTGGGGTGTGGGGGTGGCATTCACAACTAAGTGGGGAGAGCCTTATGGGATTGCCAAGGTGAAGAGTTCTCTTTCCAACATGAAAAGTCCTGACTGCAGGTTTTCTCAGAGATTTCTGATCCCTCATCACTTCCTATTGACCTGGGAACCTCTAAGAGAATTCTCAACAGTAATGCCCTACTTCTCTTAGACCGGAACATTTCCCACCACAGTAGAGCCCCAGTGTGCTCTGTCCCTGGAAGCAGACTTCCATGGAACCACCACTCACCGCCCACCCACTGGTGTCACTGTTGGTCCACTTCTTGGGGATAGGACCATTTATGCTAAACATTCTGCAGCTACTAATTACTTGTATCTTAATTACTTGAATAAGGTAGATACTATCACCCCCACTTTCCAGATGGGAATTTGAGGTTCAGAGATATGAAGCAATTTATACAAAGCCCCAGAGTGAAAAAGGAGTCATTCAAGAGGCCTCCTCTTAAATCCAGTCTGCAAATTATAGGATGAATAATCATGCCCCTATCCCAAGATGCTAAAATGCAGACCCTGGGAGAGTCTGAAGATTTTGGATGGGGTCAGAGAACATACTTGCATTCGTACAAGTTTCCCTGGTGATGCTAAAGCCAGAGGCCCAAGGACTTGAAAAGCACTGTGTCACAATTTAGACGTCATCTCAATGAGCCATAGTTTCACCATATGTAAACTGAAAACAGGAAAACAACTCCCAGTATCTTGTGAGGAGTTGGTGATACTCAAGCAAACAGCTCGGCCCTTCCTTATCTGTTGTGTCCTCCCACAAAGTTTTCAAAGAGCAAGGGCTAGTTTGAATTCGCCAATGTTTATCTGCCTGCAGAGAAGGGACATTTCCACCTGGGCAGGTCTGTGGGTCGAGGCAGGAGGCCATGCTTGGAATCTGTTTGGCAGAAAGAGTCTTTTTGTCAGAAATAAGCCCTTAGTTCCCAGTTGTGGCTCTGCACCATCTAGATCTGGGAGAGAGGTGTCAACCTCCAAGGCACAGCCAGGCAGAGGGGTGTCCCAGGCACAGCTGCAGTCAGTCAGCCTCTGGTCCAGTCCAGCCCTCTATATACACCAACTACCCAAGAACTGCAGTTTCTGCTTCTGCAATGATGGAAAGGCCATAAATGAAATGACAAAAGGGTTCAGAGAAGCTCCTTCACCCAGGCCACGCCAGGGGTCCCCTCCACACTGAGCCTTTGACCGACAAAGTTACGGTATCCTTACAGCCTCAGCTCCCATGATCCCTTCGCCCCACTCACTTCACTAGGGCTGCCAGCTGCAGCTGACCTCCCAACTGGAAGGCTCAACAAAACATGCGAGGCCAAGAGCACAGATGCGATCCAGAGACCTGAGTTCACATCTTACCTCTGCCACTTGTGTGTGACCTGTACAAATCACCTGACTCTGAGCTTCACTTTCCTTATCTATAAAATGGGGATAATAACAGCACCTCACCTCACAGGGCTGTTAGGAGAAAAATAAAGATTACGTATGTAAACAATAACACACATAATAACCCACATTTACTGAAAGCTTCACTCAAAACAACTTTGCACACGTTACCCATGCGTTTGCATGGTGCCTGGCGCACAGTCAAAGTGGATGATAAACAAAACCAGAAAGCCCTGCAGGAAAATCCAGCCCAGCCAGGGCTGCCAGGGAGGGCAGGAGGCCTGGAGGGGCCGGGCCACCCTCGTCCTCCCGGTTAAAGAGCTCACTCAGGCGGGCCCACACCTGGCCACCTGAGGGTCCCGCTCAGAAACAAGGCTGCATGTATTACAGCTCCTATTGTCTGTGTGAGCAGCTTTGATCATTCAGGGACATGGGGTCACCTCCAGAGTGACTTCACGGATGTCGGGCCAGGCTCTGCCCAAGCTTGCCTCTCTCTCTTTCTGTGTGTGTGTGTCTATCTGTGTGTGCACACCATGCTGCAGGGCTTGTCTATGCTTGTGTTCACTCCTGGGTGTTATTTGTGCAGAAGTGACTAGGAGGGGGTGAGCGCGGGCACACCTCACAGCGGGTCTTAAATTTCATACTGCCAGGGTATCTTGAGGTCTCCTAGGCTGCCAGTGCTTCTCAGGAATCATCATGGCCACCTCCCCACAGGTTAGTCTAGACGGGAGAAGGCAAGTCGGCCTGAGGCCATGGATGGATGACCCAGCTGGGACAAATCCTTGCCATCCACCAGGACAAGTCTGAGCTGGTGGCTCCTCCGCTGCCTGCGCTCTCCAATGGGCACTGTCCTCCAGGAAACCATGGTGAAGGCTGGCGTGGCTGCTGGACTTGGGCCACCTGGGCTGTGCCTGTCAAAGCTGCTTGCAGTACCTCATGCCCTCACCTGTGGGGCCTGGTTCCCGGCAGGAGGTGTTGCAGAACAACTTGGGGGGCTTGCAGCCTCACCTTGAGTTCCTCCCCTTCCCTGTGACTCAGCCGGAAGGCTGGAGATGCAGAGACAGGAATCGGGTGCAGCACTGTCCCCACCCTGGGCCGTCCCCACCTGGGCCAGTTAGAGAGCTGTGGTGGAGCCGTGACTCAGAACCCCACCCTACCTTTCTCTCTACTCTGTGGCTTCCAGCACCAGCACAAGATGCTGACCTGGCCTGAACACAGAA